CCAAGGTGGTGTCATTAACTGGATTCTCCAACAGCCATTGTGACCACAACATTCATAGCTCAAAGTTTGCCTTTCCAGACCAGACTTTCACTGACCATATTCTTTCCAGTGGCATACAGAGGCTACTCTATGGTCTTTCTGATTGCTCTATTTATTTCTCTCACCACAGTAGTCATGGCCCACAATTACCTTATTTCTATACAACAGATATATGCATATCTTGAATCTGCCTCAAGTCTTCTGTGCAAAAGGGTTGAAATAATGTTACTCTTCATATCCTTGCTTAAAGACCTAATGAAAATCTCTGTTCTCTAACATTTCTTGCTCTAAATTCTACTGAAGTTATTTCTCAGAAATAAGCACATGCACACTGAGAGACCTTATGAGTTCTGTGAGGATTAGTAAATTAATGCCTATATTGAAATGGCGAGATTATATCCAGGACATGAATGGGAGGGGGGAAACCTGCAGCTTATTTAAGGATAATAATTACGACAGAGATAGATACTACTTACATTTCAAATTTTGACACATGTAAAAACAATTTTCTTTGAAATGTTTTGACATTTTCTGAGATTTATTACATCAAACATTAATTGGGTGCCAAAACAATTCATGAAAGAGTTTTTCATAGTGTTTAAGTATCTAGCTATCATTTCTTTGAAAGATCTACTTATGTTATTTTGCTATAAATCAGAGTCAAGAAGGTATATAAACAATTAAATGTTTCTATCTTACAACTGAAAGTAGGTTAAATAGGCCTGAAGTCCTAGAAACCCTACCAGTCTCTAATTAAGAAGCAATTTGTTTTCATTCCATATTAGCTCTACAGAGATTTAAAGAATGAAGAATATAGAATTCGGGTGATAGGATTCAACCTAGTCTTCCCAGGCAGATAACTGGCTTATTTTATACTGTAGAATCACTACAATTCTGGATCCTCACATCTCTAGAAAATGCAGGAAGAACTCTACTTATCTCAAAATCTGTCAGTAGCTTGTGAACAAACAAAGGACAAGACTTCAGTTGGCTAGAAATAGAAAGACTATTTCCAGTGACAATTTAGGCATTTATTTTCCATATAATAGTTGAACCAGGTAGTAAAGCAGGAAGCATAACTCACTTCATATGCGAAGAAGTATGGCTGCTATTCAAAACTGTAATTTCAAAGAATTTTAAATTGAAAAAGACTGGAGGAATTGTAAAGTGCAGTAAGCTCTTTAAAGGTAAGCAACATAGAAAATATAAACTCCTTTTTGAAAATCTGAGTGTAATCTAGAGATCAAGCTAAAATCAGAGACTTTATTTTAGCAAGCAGTAATTAAGGTGAGAAAATAGGATATTTTACTACATAGGATTGAGGAGCCCGAGCTCTGAACTAAATTTGCTGGCTTTTCAAGAAGAAGACCAATCTTTCTATCCATCCATCTATTTATCTTTGAACTTGCCTTTCCTTCTATCCAACCATCCATCCATCCATCATCCATCTATCCATCCATCCATCCATCCACCCATCTATCCATCCATCCATCCATCCACCCAACCATCCATCCATCTATCCATCCATCCATCCATTCACCCATTCACCATCCATCTATGAAACTACCTACCAATTTTTCTCTCTCCCTGCTCCCTTCTCTATTGTTGCTGGGGTAAAGGCCCCTTTGTGTACAACTTTTGCCTTTTTCTTTCTGTACAAATTAGGCTTTTTATTAAATCTCATCATTATGAAAGTATTCTGGCTAGTTTGTAATAAATTTCTTCATGAAATTCTGACTTTAGAGGCTTACATTTTCTCTAATCAAATGTAATCCACTCTTTATCACTGCACAAAATTTAATCTATAATTTCACCAGTATGTAAGTAGCCTGAATTCATTTGTGAATTGGAAGCTGTCAAGATTCTTTGCCTGTTTTCTTTCTCCCTCATGGTCTGACTGCAAGGATGGGGGTGGGGGACATCAGTCATTTCTTAACAAACATGAAAATATAGTTTGCTTCTTCAAACTAAAGTAAGCATCCTGATCCATTTATTTGTGTATACTTGCTGTCTACAGTGGTGCCAAACACACAGTGGGTGAACAGTATTAACAATAATGAAAAGAATGATCCTCCCCATGGTATAGATACAGAGACCGATCCAGAGGTGTTCTTTCCTCGAAAGCCTTCAACAATTCCCCAGAAACACTATAAAGTCATAAAGGAGGTGCCTCACATTCCAAGATGCTTTCACTCATTGAACTCTTGAGGAGGGGAAACTGAATACGCTGTTTACAGAGAATCACTCCCTCCTTTCTTTTCTCATCTATGCTTTCACAAGAGGTAAAAAGTGTTCCTTTATTTTAAAAGTTTGAAGTTCACAGGACAACAAAAGGGGGAAGAGAGAAGGAATGGATCATGAAAAATAGCTATTTTATTTTAATTTTTCAACATGACAAAAAAAATCCACTAAAAAAAAGGGGGAATTTAAGAGCAGAGCAGAGGGAATGGGGAAGACTGGGAGGTGGGGGGCAGTGCAAAGAGGTTGGGAAAGGGAGGGGGGTTAAGAGAAGGGAAGTGCAAAGCTGAGAACCATGCTGGGTACTTTCCAATTCTTGGTTCAAGGCCACTTTCCATCCTCCTCCATCCTGCTCTCTGCCCTACAGAGTGAATTTAGGATGTTATTCAGAGTGCCCCTTTTCTCTGGCTTCCACTGAGTTTGTCCAATGGGGAAGGTGGGCAAGTGAATGTAAGGAGGAGGGAAAGTGAGGTGAGGGTATTTATTCCCCTAGGTCCCTTTCTGAAAAGTTGCCTGAGGCTAGGCTGAATCTCTGTCTGTCCTTCTGTCCGTAGGTCAACTCTCCTCTCAAAGACATCTGCTTCCATTTTTTAAGTCACTCCTTTGATACAGCAACCACAGGCCTGGGGTTGGGAACAGCTCCACCTCTGTTACTAGCACTGCATTACTGCTCAATCCCTCGCAGTTCACCTTTGCTCCACCAATCACACTGTAAACAAACCCTACTGGAATGTTCCATCTGTTTGTTGTTGGGACTCTGGTACTGACAGAGGAAATGAGCAAAGGTATGAATTCAGTGAAAGATGCTTTGGAGAGCAGGGAGATAATTTAGACAAATCGCTCTGTGAATACTGCATACAAATTCTCTCTTGGAGGTTTACAATGTTAACATTTAAAAGTTTTGGAGTTTTGTGGTTAAGAAACCTATTCAACTACCGTTTATATTCCATGAATAGCATAAATATTTGGAAGTATGAGGGACACAACAGGTAAAAGGATGGACAAAAGTAAAGAGAGACTAGGAAAGTAAGTATGATAGAAAGGCAGTCAAAATCTGGGCACATTTTAATCAGTGTTGTGGCTATGCATGATGTCTTGATAAAGGCAGACCCGCTAAAAACCCAGCTCCAACAGTGACCTTGGGCTAGTTAAATTATCCGATTCAGGGTGCTCCAAAGCCTTCTGTTACACCTTTGAAGATTTTATAAACTTATAAGAAATGAAGCTAAGGCATTATTATAAATTCCACTGCCTAAATGCTATAATCTTAATATAATTGTAATATTACATAATTTTACAGACTCTACAGTATTAAACAGAAATGCTCTGGAATATGGAATGTATTCGTTATATTGAAAAAAAAACACATAAATCAAATGGGCAACAGCTGTCTGGTCTTTGCAAAGAATTATCTCTTTTGTCATAAGATTAGAAGGTCTGCAGAGGAAAGAAAAGAATTAAGCATCATTATCAGGTAAAGTCACCCAGTAATTCCTGCAATGAAATAGTCAAACTATATTCAGGAATTATCATGAAAACACTCAGCTTTCTAGGTGAATTATTACTGAATTAATATTACCCCCTGGGCTAAGTATGTAGGGAGTATTTTTTAAAAGTTGCTAATGTAAGGAGATATGCTACTGATCTCTTAATCTGATCACATCCAGCAAGAGTTATTTGCCCTGGGGTCTGAGCTACATTGTAATAAAATCAAAGGACATAAAAACTGTGGCAGGAACAGTGCTGAAATTGGAGAAGCATCATTATGAATAGCAACAAGTATGGAGATGCATATGTAAGAGGGTAACTAGAGTCAATATAACCACTGTTCTTCCATGATTTAGGGTAAATAGATAGTTATGGCTCATCTGCTAAATGATCTACTGGGTAGATATTTATGGATTATTATACAGTATATTATTGAGGATCAGCCTGGTTAAAAACAAATAGAGAAAAGAGCAAATGGCACAGACAGGCTTTTAGTAAGGCCATCATTTGTAATATTTCTCAGGAAAAAATCTCTTTCAGGAATTCCTCAGCCTAGCTAATGTGCCATAGAAGGACTCTTCACTTTAGGAGTGCATAAATCCACACAAATTGCTATAATAAGGATTCATCCCATAGCCCTTTTGGCATAAATGCACATCTGGTCTCTGTTTGTAATGAAATCAATTCAAAGCCCCACAGTGCATTAATAATAAAAATGTTCAACATATTGCAACTAAATAAGCCCTGAAAATTTGAGTCTGCAAGATTCTGTCACACATATGTATACTTTTAACACTGATAAATGATTAGGTTACAGAACATTTATCAACTAGCTTAAGATTCCAAAGGTAGACTTTTTTTGGTAATTATTATTTCCACAGGAAAATCCATATGCATGTATGCTAGAAGCTTTTGCTTGCTTGATTTATAATGCCTCTTGGACTTTTATATCTGGAGTTCACAATATCATAAAAATTTTATTAATAATAAAATTATTATAAGCAATAGTGCCTGGCTTAGAGGAAGTTCACAGATTTGCCCTTTAAAAAACAACAAAATTCTAGATTAGCACACAGCGTTATCAAAGGTTGTCACTAAATCTTAAAGAGAATTAAAATGGGAGAGTATTTCCACATTAATTAAAAAAAATCTTAACTATTTTGTTTGCAAGAGTTATAATCAACAACAGAAGATCTAGGTTTGGGAAAAACTCCCTGGTCAGTCACACGATTTACCTTTTGTGTTATATGGTTGACCCAAGGAGAAGAACAATTGCTAAGATCCGGTCCTTGGGGATCCCAGATTCCATCAGGAGCCAGACAGAGATAAGTTGATACTCCTAAAACAATGAGAAAAAACAGCTCTGCTTTAAATATTCAAACCATCTTGCTTACAAAGACTTCCTGTGTTATATTTAAATATGAACAAAGGCAAAACTGAGATTATTAAACTAAGATAATGTTTGTTAAAACACCACACACAGAGCCTGACAAACAACTGACATTGGAGAAATGCAACAGAACAAACAAAATCATTCAATACTTTTAAAGCATTTGTTGGCAACTACACCAGATACAGGAAACAATTTCATAAATTAGAGTGATGTGGTACCTGCCTCTATGGGGCTGATTGTGTGAGTTTTTAGAGTCAAGGCAGCAGGTGAGTCTTAAAGGAATCAGTCTGCAGGTTTTTTGGGAAAACGAGGTAGGAAAGGGCATTCCAGGTGCAGAAAAAATATGTTGTCTTTGGGAAACTTCAAATGTTTTAAATTGAGGTCTACTATATAGTGTTTAATGGACTTGGAAAGGCAAGCAAAGTCAGATCATAAACTCCCTTGTCTGCCACCTGTGGGTGCTCGAAAATCAATGAACATTAAGCAGAGGAGAGAAATGAGCTGATTAAGGTTTTAGAAAGATAACTGTGGCAGCAGCATGGAGGGTGAATCTGAGCAGGGAGATGTGAAGGTTTGGGGGAAGCTATTACAATAATTCAAGTGACAGCCTGTGTGGGTCTGAACAGAACTACAGCAGAAGGGACAGAAAAAATGTTAAAAATAAGATTGTAGCATAGGGACATTCACCTGGGAGGGCTCCAGAAGGTTTGGTTTCCTTTAAGCCTCTCTCAATTTTCACAGAACAATAATGACATACTTCTATAGTGCTCTGTAGTTTTCAAACTGCTTTCAAATAAAGTATTTCACTCACCTTCACAACAAATATCTGAAGTGTTCGATTGTGGGGGGGGGGATGTTATTATTTCTCTTTTAGAAATGAAGGAACTGAGGCCCAGAAAGAAGGGGACAGTGCTAAGAGAAAAGGTTTCAAACTGTTGGAACCAAATGGATTTCAGTACCACAGAAAACTTCAGAACTAAACATTGCACCCTTTCATAAAGGGAAGGAAGATTTCAGAATATTTTTAAACACTTTGCTGAAAAAAGAAATTAAACGTGCACTTTCATAAAAGCCAATATTCTTTTTGGTCTTTCTACCACTTCACAAACTATAGGATTCAGAATGATATATCCATGTTGGAACTGTTCTAAGACAAACCCGTTTAAAGTAGCCAAATCAATAACACCCAAAGACATAGTCCTGATTGCTTGTATCGTGACATCTATTGTGCATTTACTTTATTTACATACTTTATGGAATAAGGCAAATTTTATTTAGTGTATCAGATATTAGTTTTATGAAGAGCAATGTATGTGATAATAAGAAAACCAGGCTATTTCTGGCATAAAAATTGTAAATAATAATATGGTTACCACTTGAGGATATTATGAATCACATCAGCAAAAAATGAGCAGGAGAGAGGGAAGAACTATTTAGCTCTGAACTATCCCCTAGAGAAAACAACAGCTCTTGCTCTCTCTAGGGGGTGTTGAGGGATGGGAGCCTGTCTCCTGACTCTGTGAAGAACCTCTGGTTCTTAAAGGACAGCTACACTGACTTATCAAAAGGATGGTCAAATTTTATCTTTTGTGAAGTTTTAGGTCATTTCGATGATCATCTTCTAATGGAGAAGTCCACCACCTCCTTTTCTGTTCTCAACATTTGACAGTTGGTGACAAGCATGAGAACTAGCTCCCAACAATCCAGTGATTCGCTTGGGGATGCTGCAGAGACGGGCTGGCTTTCTGGAGCAGCCGGGACATCCACAGCCTAATGGTAACTTCCCCCACTGCCCTCACACCAGGGACAAAAAAACCACTGGCCTCACGTGGATACGCACCAAATCCTCACTGGTGACTTCTCCACAATGTATTTTCAAACTCCAAAAATACACTGCTTTAAATTGCAATTCAGCTGAGTTCAGAATTCAATCAAGCAAAGTCACAAAAATATATAGTAATGAACAAGCAAAAGACTAAAGAAAAAAACTGCAAGAAAAGCAAGCTAACCTAACAAAAGACCTTTAGCTTCGCTCTGCAGATCATACTTACCGATTGTTCCTGCAGGGCACGGCTGCTTGGCCATCTGTCCTTGACGGGTCTTAAACCACATGATTTCTCGGGCTTCCACAGCTTCACAGCTCTCCTCCAGAGCTGGGATTTGGGACGATGCTGATGGCAGATGTGTGGTCATGTCATCAAGCACCTCCACAGCTGGAGACGGGGTGCTGGTGCTCCGGTTTCGTCTTCCTGACACTGATGGGGTGGTACTTCTGCCTGGGCTCCATGTTGTGGTCCGTAGGGTGGTACTGGTGGTGGTGCTTCCCATGCCAAGAGGTCCTGTGGTAGAGATTTCTGAAATAAAATTCAAAAGAAAACACCTACATTGCTTGCTCATCACCTCAAGGTGTCCTAATACTTTAGAAACCATTTTTATTTGGCAGTTCAAAAAGCCTTCAACATGGAAAAAAAACTAAGCCAGTACCAAAGTACCTGAATGCCACCTCAGTACCATGACAGCCATCTGACCCATGCCAAACATCAGCTTGTTCATGGTTCCGCTCAACTCAAATCAGAGAAAACAAAATTACAGCACAGCCCAACTCTTCAGTAAGCTTCATAATGCTTCAGGCCTTTTTAACCATTAGAGGATTGATACTTAGAGCACTCACCTTAGAATTTTCAAACCTAGTAGAATGGGAGAGAGCTATTGTAATAGTCTTTTCACATTAAGTATCACACGAATTTCTAAAGATAAAGCAATTAGGGGAGAGGGATCAGAAAAAAAAAAGGCATCAAAATTTAAAGTGCTCTCCAGCTAAAAAGTAAAGAACAATTCTGAGTATGGTCTCTTTAACATGAAGTAGCTTGATGATCTACCTGATGCTCTTAGAACTGACCCATCTTAACAAAGTTCTCAAACTTGACATTTACTAATGTAAAGTATATGTTGTTGCCAATTTAGTTGTCTCATAAATCATCTTTTTTTTTAAGATTTTATTTATTTATTTGATAGAGAGAGAGAGAGTGAGAGCAGGAAGCCAAGCAGGAGGAGTGGGAGAGGGAGAAGCAGGTTTCCCGCTGAGCAGGGAGCCCAATGCAAGGCTCGATCCCAGGATCCTGGGATCGTGACCTGAGCCAAAGGCAGACGCTTAACAACTGAGCCACCCAGGCGCCCTCATAAATTATTTTCTAACTAGATTTCTTAAAATGGGGAAATGTATTCCAAATTCCAAATAAAACTGGTAAGGTTCCTTGACCAGATATAAATAGGTTATTAAGCCTAGAACATATCCAAAGGAATGTCCTAACAATACCATGGAAATAATCACTGCAGAGAATCATCTTTCTGGGGAAAATATATTTATATTTCCATCAAAGGAAGGCAAGGGTATGCCAGTCTTCCACATACATACATTGCATTCCTAACTTAACCTCATTTACTGGCAATAACCCCAGGGGCCCTGACTCTAGCCAGATTCCAAGTAGCTCAGGTTTATGGAACTCAGGTAGTCCTGTGCTGAGCCTCTAGGTGTTCGTCATTCATTGTCTGCTTTCTTTAACATGTCACTGACTTGACTCTGCTGCCCTAGAAAAGGTGCCACATCTATCACAGTGTACTTGGTACGTATAAAGCTTCCAAAAACACGATAGAGATGGCAGTAGGAAGGGGGTATGGATTTTCTGCACATTTAATCACTGAACTTGTAGCATTTTCTGAAGTGATGCTATTTTCCTAACTGTCTCCTTGCTTGTTCTGTTTCCTCTTCCTTTCTTCTAAGCTTTCCTCTTTCCTCTAGGGTTCTCACTCTATGTGAATGTAATGTTCATAACTTCACTGACACAAAGTTCATGAAGGAAGAAAGAGTATCTTTTTTCTCCCCTTCTTCCATTGACACCACATCTCCCAAAGTCTCGTAGATTCTGTCTCATTTCTCTATTTTTACTCTCTTCCCAATCACCACCAGCCACACTCCCCCCACCATCAGCAGTGGACGAGTAAGGCAGGCTTTTAACCTTTTTAGACCGTGAAAGCAACACTAGAACAAAATGGCATTACTGGGATTTCAATATCGATGTTTGCAAAATCAAAATTCAGAATTCATAAAAATTGACACTATGTTAACACAACTCAGATATAAAATTTAGCAACATAATTAAGTAAAATGGAATCCTTAAAATTTAAACAGTAGAAATGATTCTAATATATATCATTTGCATTTGAATTTGCTGAAATGTCTCAAAAAGAAAAAACACAATGAAGAAATATTAATAACTTGAAATTAAATATTATTTAATATTAAAATAATTAAAATAAGTTAATATTGAAATTAAATACTCTTATTTTGTTCTTATTAATTTTGTAATGTTAAAGTTAAATGTTAAAATTAGAAATTAAAATACTCTAATTTTATTCTTATTGTTCTTATTAATATTAAGCATTAACCTTAAAAACATGTGTCAGTGGTGTCATTGCTGGGATACAAGCACCTTTTTTGTGCAAAGTTTTCTGGCTGATGGAAAAATTCTTCTCCACTTTTATACCACTTGATAGACTAGTAAGGCAATAGTTAAAACCTAACTCCAAGCATTTTCTCCAGCTCCTTCAATTTAAATAATGCCATCTCTCATTTGTAGTTGATTCAGAATTATATAGATACTGAAGAATGCTTTCTAAATGAATGCACTTTTCTTCATTTAGATGTTTTAATTAGCATATAATGCTCTGGGAGGGAAGAGACTTGTTTTGCAAACATTTTTGCTCCGATGAAACTGCATAATCCCACATGCAATGAGAAGATTGACCGGCCTATTGTCTCAATCACACAAATCATACACAAGGAGCACTGACACACTGTCACAAGATGCTTGTTTGCTGTGACTCTGGCCTTGCCAATTTTGAACAGATTTGTCTTTTAGCATAGAGTTAGTATGTTTATCTTTGTGCTCTATAATGATCCAGATTTCAGATTTTTAAAGACTACAGTATCACACCAAAATGTATTTAACAATACACCACATAATAAATTAATGTTCATTATTTTTCTCTAAAATTACCCCGTTGAAACAATTGTCTACCTTTTGCCAGAGGCATCTTGTAGGGTAGAAACTGGAGTATGTTACCCTCCAGATTAAAATCCCTTAAATCACTTCTGTCTGCCCTCTAAACAAACACTGGACTCCTTTTCTTTGTGCCTAAAGCCCTTCATGAGTTTATTTCTCTAGCTCATTTGTAATGCTTATTCATCTTTCAGCTCTACTATTAAACCATACAAAATTACCAGTAATTTCCCAACTGTACCCTGTTCTTTCTGCCCCAGGGCTTTTGCACATGCAGCAGTGTTTCTGATCCCATTTCCACCTGGCTAATTCCTGTTTAGCCTTTGGGGATTGTTTGGATGCCATCTCCACCAAGGAATATTTTCAAATTTACCAAAATGAGGTTACATACTAATGTGTTTTGTTCAGGATTATTTCCTCAGCTTTTAGCCTTGTGTCTGACCTATAGTAAATTAGCTCTTAGTCAAGACAGATGAACATTAGGGGTAGGTCAAGGGAGCAGGGGAGGGTCCAGTTGTGAAATATCACAAAAAAAGGAAAAAGATAATAGAGGAAAACAGCAAATGGGGTAGTTAGGAGTTCTCACAGTTGATAGGCTAAAAAAGTTATTTTATAAATGCAGTTTACACTACCGTTAAGAAAACTACCAGATAGCTCAAAACAAAGAGAAGCAGGGAGAACACAAAGTCTCCTTTTCCCCAAAGTAATCCTATCGCAGAACATTCATATTTAAATTGATTGTGAAGCAATGATACTGATAAAAGAGATTTTTTTCAAGTTTGAATTGTTACATATTACACTGCAAGGACTTAATTTAATACAGACATACTAATGTTAAAGGATCAGAACTTATTTCTTCAGAATTGTGCTGCAGAGAGGTGTCTACAAGCAGGGCCATTTCATTCCATTTGACTTTTAGCAGAATAAAAGTCAAATTTATCCCCCATCCCTTCTATTCCATATACTGCTATGTAAGACTCCCAAGAGTTCCACTCAATGCCAGACTTTGGCAGAGTAAGTACTAGTGATATACGTGTTGTCACCAGTGCCCAAGAAAGAACTTGCCTTATTGCTAGATACTGGAAAAGAAGATGTAGATTCACGGAAGAGTCATAGCAATGCACTTTGGCCAAGTTCCAGCCCATATCATACACCACAGGAGTTGGCTTTCTCTATCTTCCAGGAAGGGCAAAATGATATGACACTTTTTTCATTGTATTCGGTTATTGAGTCTTACTTGATGATAGAGCTAGTTTAATAAAACTATGTTATTAAATGCCTCATGTGGTTGTGGTTGTGTATCAGGGAAAGGTTAAAAGAATATAAAAGAAAATACATTTGAGTCACTATTTACATATAACACTTTATCAAAATTGTGTAATTTTCCTTACTATTCTATCATTGTTATTATGCTCACTGTGCTTATTATTTTCATAAAAGAAACTAAACAAAACTCCATATTAAGATTTTCCCACATAATTAACTTATTTCCAGAGGAAAATTTCAAGTCTCCTGTCCCCTGAAATATATTGCCCATGGCTTATTTCATTCTTGTATTTTGGTTTATTTTGTTTAATTTATTTTTCCTTCAATCTGCCTTGAAAAGAAGAAATATTATTTTGAGTATTACTACAGGTTATAGTTTGTGGAGTATTCTAATGGAAAACAGTGAAAATAACAAACATTTGTAGAGTGCTTTACATTTTTCAATGTCTTTATCTCCATTATCTAATTGAATTCACTGCAGAGTAATTGTAACTACAAATTTCTAATTTTACAAATGAGAAAACATAGGCTCAAATGGTAAGTGAATCATAATCATACATATAGAAAGTAAATCAGTGTCCCCCAAGTCCATATTCCATGTTTCTATAATAAGCTATCAAAAATGACATTCTGAATTATGTCATGCATTCTACAAATGAGTCTGCCAAATGCTTTAAGAAGGGACTGAAGTAAATAGGATTCTAATAAAACATTCTTGATCACAAAACATATTTATTTTGGAGGATGGACATTGTTAATTTTTTCCCCCGAGGTCATATGTTGAAGGCTTAACCCACCTATAATTCTATCTGGAGATGGAGCCTTTAAAAAGGTAATTAAGGTTTCGGTAAGGTCATAAGGGTAGGGCCCTCAACCAATAGCACTGTTGTCCTTAAATGAAGAGGACGAGATAGTAGGGATGCATATTCACAGAGTAAAGGCCATGTGAGGACATAGTGAGAAGGTGGCCATCTCTAAGTCAAGGGGTGAGACCTCAGGAGAAACCAACCTTACCAGCACCTTGGTCT